GAGAACTTTGGCTCCAATAAAATGAAACCTTTATCACAAATTGGTTGAGCCCATGACTGCAACTTAATCATTCAATTGTACATAAGTCAAGTTGTATTTTTATTTTGTAGGAATAAGTTCCCAGGGAAAGAAAACTCATTTGAAAACTTCGGGCCATTAAGCCTTAAATGGTAGAATGTCGGTGAAATAAAAATGAACTGGGCCAAGACTTGGGAGAAACTTGGAACACAGCCATTGTTCTACAAGTAACAACTTCTGTGACATTGGGAAAATCTTCTAACTTTACTTGGTTTCAGTTTACAAATGTCAAAATGAGAGATAGGTCTAAATAAAGGCTTTCTAAAAATCCCTTGTAGTTCTAAAATCATATGAATTATTGGAACACTGAACTTACAGTGTTCAGTGACTACTGCCATGTATATTATATTTTTTTTTTCCTAGAAATTCTCCTCTTGCTGGAAATACTCATTAAATTGTTCATCATCAGAAATACAGAAGAACAAGTTTTTCTCTCCTAATGACCTAGGCAAAAATTTTCAGCATTGTGTGCTCACTACATTGTCAGGTATGATTCCATTTAATCCTCAAACTAAGCCAGTGTCAGTTATTATAATTCCCATTTAATAGATGGGAATAATGAAACCAGAGGGATTAAGCAATTTTCCTAAGATCACACAGCACATGAGGTGTGAACATGCAGAGACTGAATTCAGGTATGTCTAATTCCAGAGAACCTGCTCTCTATCTTTATTTTTAATCATTTAATACAATTAAAATTGTATTTCATACAGTTAAATATAGTCCTATACCACCTGAAGAGCCAAGCTCTTCCCTATATACATTGGAATACACACTGGCCAGTTAATACAAAAGAAGAGAGATTTGTCCTTTGCTCTACCCTTAGCTCTAGACAGAATCAGTGACCCAAAGTTACTACTAGTTCTGCAAATGTATACCTTATGAATCGGAAAGAATGACAGGTGATTGTTAAATACCAAATCTTTGCCCCCAAGAGAATATAATGAACAACAAACAATTGGAACAATTTGCCAGAAGGGAAAATGCAACAGATTTGTGGAATCTCTTAAGAAAATTCAAACACTGAACTTTCAGTATGGGAATCATGACAAATACACATTTTAAAAGAAGTAAAACATCTTTAAAATTTCCCTTAAAAATACCTGAAGTGGATTTCATACTAGAGCATGTTATTGGACTGACCCTATTAGATGCTAATAAGAACTTAAAATTCCATTAAGTATTATTGAAAAAAGGTAAAAAAAAATTAAACTAGGACATGCTTCCCCCTCTCACTCCCAAAGCTATAGAAACCCTGTCCCATACAAAGCTTCAAGATAAAAGGAACTTGAGTCTCTAGGGACATTCAGTTTGTTGCCATAATGGAAACTGAGTAGAGGTCACTCATTCATTTACTTTAAAAGGTTTTGGTAACAGTGAATGAGGTCAAGATGAACCGTTGGTTTAGGATCATTATTGGAAACATAAACCACCTCCTAGCAATCCCTATTAGAAACAGGTTGATTTAATGTAAAAAAGAGATTAGTCAGAAAATAAAATTGCTAAAAGATGGGCAATGTAGCATAAGCAAAAGATTAAAAGAAAAAAAAAGGTTATTTTTTTTAAAATGTAAAAGATATTTTTCTCTGAAATATCTATAAATTTCATCTGACATATTAACGTGCATTAAGAGTTAGCTAGGAAAAAAAAAAAAAAAAAAAAAAAAAAAAGAGTTAGCTAGGTACAGTAAGCAGGAATGCAAAAATATCCTACTTTTTAAAGGACAATAAAGTATTAAAGGAAAACTGCTGAATGGGAGAAAAAGAAGTCGAACTTCTTAGTGTTGCTAAAATTGAGAGTCTCATAAAGAAACAGACAAGTTCTTGTGGGAAGATGAGATATTTTCTGGTATTATGACATGATTTTATTTGTAAAATGAACTGATTTATGATGTTAGAAAGAATAACAGAAAACTTTTTCGTTTCTTCTTTTAATCTATGAGTTACGTGAATCAACCTAGAAGACTATAACTCCACATAAAGTCTTTGCAAGGAAGTAATGTAGATCGAGTTCTCAATCCAATTAGAATCATGCAATTAGAGCTAAGGTTGCTTTTTTAAAGAGAGAAAAACTGTTCATATAGAATTGATCCTAAGTGATTGAATAAAATTGGTGAATTTGCTAATTCTTACGGCATTTTCTCTTTGAATATATAACTACAGAGTAAAACCTACTACCACTTTTTCATCTGGAGTTGAAAGAAAATAGAAACAATAGGCCAAGAGAAATTTTAAGTAACTTGGGTCATTAGAATATGTGAATGTTTGTGCATATACAAACTTGTTCATACACTTTTTTTTAAAATCGAAGGACATATACTTCAAATGTAATAAAGATGTCTAAATTAACCTCTCCTTTAAAGAGAACTCAGTAAAAGAATGAGAGAAATGTTGGGGAACATCATCCTCTTGTCATTTAACACAGCCATCAAGTGTGAAAATTTGTCCTGCTCTCTTACCCTGTCAATCTAATCCATCTAGCAGATCTGTCTACCCATCTAGTGCTTTGCATACCTTTACCAACATTTGGGGCAAGCGTGTATTTATAACTGAAACCAAAAGCTTAAAGGCAGCCTTAATTGTGGGTCGAATAACATTGCAGCCCACTATTCTACCGATAAAGAAACTAGAACGCATTGTTTTCTAAAGCTCAAAGAGACAATGGTATAAAACACGTAAGAAAATGCAATCAGGATGAACAATGTAAGTTGGTGTGTTTATTTCTACAAGGTCTTTAGCTCCATATTTAAGAAAGATAAAGAAGTAGATCAATTCAAAATATACTATGTAAGTATTTGCAGATATCAAGTAAATTTATTCTATTGTAAATTCTCATGTAAGCACTGATTATGTGTGCATTGACAAAAAGAAGTTTTATAATGCTATTTGTTGTAATTTTGATTTGCCTTCCACGATAGCAGATTTGATTTTTACCCTTCTTCTTCCTTGTCAGATGCTGCCAAGGAAAACGAAGAAGGGGAAAGAAGAAAAGGGAGAGAAAACATTCTCAAAAAGAAATGTGGCAAGGATTTACATGAGCAAAAAAAATGGATCTGTTCCACATTTTTAATCTTCTTTCTCTACACATGTCCCTATAGCGGTCCTTCCCATAACTGAACAATCTCTCAATAGACTAATTTAAATATATTGTGACTCTCACAACTATTAAGTATTTGTAAGACTGCCCCAAATCAACAATTTATAAAATATACTTTAGAAGTATGCTTTTAGTTAATGAATACATTAAAAACTGTGTAAATGAATTCCTTTCAGATTGTCAGTCTTGCTCAGTACTTAATTTTTGCTTGAAACATTTCCTACTTCCCATATTAAATATATATATATATATGGCCATAACTGCTTTATTATCTTAGATTTTCAATTAAAAACATTTTAAATGTAGATAACCTGGTACCATCAATTAAAACTATATTCAAAGTCAGCATATTTAGACTGAACATGAAATTGAACAAACAGTTTTTTGTATTTTTTTTTTTTAAGTAGGTTCCACGCCCAGCATGGAGCCCAACAAGGGCTCAAACTCACAACAGTGAGATCAAGACCTGGGCAGAGATCAAGAGTCCAAAGCTCAACTGACTGAGTCACACAGGCACCCCCCAATGAACAGTTTTAAACCACTAAATTTAATAAACCACATTCCAGATATGAACAGATTGATAACATCACATTAGGATTTGCTGCTCATAATTACAGTTAAGGAGAGCAAAGAATCCTGGTTGGATCATCTCACTGATGTTTCTCTGTCTCCCTGAAGCTATGACTAGCTCACTAAAATGTCAGGTGGACCAGGAATGAGCAAACCCTGATTGGGCTATATAATCCAGGGTAAAGAAATTAGGTATACCTGGCCCAATTAGGTAAAATGGGATAAAGTTTGCTGGCAATGAAGTCTAAACGTGATTAAATACACAAATGAAATAACGTAGACATGTCTGCTTCTGTCATTTATGATATTTACACTGAAAAAATATGCTGGATTCTCAAGACAGAATTTCAAAAGAATGATGAATTTTTCCTCTCTAACATCCGCTTCCAGAAGACGATGTTACATAGGGTGGATTCATAGCTCCATGAATTAGATTCCTTTACTTGCTGGCAATAGCAAGTATGTATTGAGCACCTACTGTGTGCCTTGATACTCCATCCATGATTTCATTAAGTCCTCATAAATACTCTTACGAAATAGGTACTTTCGGAAAGGGAATTTTCAGAAGGGGAAAAATTTTTGTCAAAATTCATGCCCCAGCAAGTGGTGAAGACAGGACACTTTTTCCTTTTATTATCAATATAGCTGCTTTCTTCCATCTTCACTGATGCTCCTCATCATCACACATTTCCATTTAAGCAAAAGATGCAGGTTATAGAGCCCTCGCTCTTGGTCTCTCCAGGCAACATGAAGGGTGAAATTCTACTTGAACACCAAATCATTATCTTCCCTAACCTCAACCCTTATGACACGTGGCTCCTGAGCATACAGTAAAAACGTCCTCTCTGCCACGGCTCTCTAACAAAACTTGCTGTACCTTTTTGCTTTGGTTCCCCTGCACATCCCTCACTGAGAACACTCACGGTCACATTTTAAACATTAAAGAATAGAGAAAATGAAACCTTTCTAGCATTTCTCAGCAATAATTTCCTTTTTGTATAGTATGAAAATGACTGTCAGCTTGCTCAGATTGAAGTTCCCTGACAGTAGGGGCCTGCGCCAGTCACCATTTGCAAGATTCTCATGGCATAGGAGGAAATAGGGCAGGAATTAAGTAAGCCGAAAATAATTCTTATTTTGGAGGTTATTCCAGTTAGCTCATCTAAAAATTAGAATATAGATAGATGATAGATAGGTAGATAGGTAGATAGATTTTTTTTTTAATTGGAAGTATGCATGAAATGATGATTTCTGACCTGTATCTGTTGCTGAAGCAAATTGATTTTGTGTTGTTGCTGCAGAAGCTGCTGCTGTTGTCTTGCAATCTGTGGAGAAATTGCACATGAAAAATTTAAAAGTATATTGTAGTCCCAGGGGGAAATTACCAATGTTCTGTTGCTCCAAGTTTGATTTGACACTGATTAAGATGATGAAAATAGATGTGCCTGAGCCCCTACAGTACCAGCAATTCATCCATAAGTAGGACCAAACAAGCTATTTAGTTTTTGGCACAGTTTCTTTTGGCCTAAAACAAACGGAGCCTAAGACACTCCAACAGTGATCCAATCCAGTATGAAAACAGCAGAGTGTCAGAAATCCTTCTTCCTTCCTGGCAATTTGTTAAGAAGGTACGGCCTCTGGCATTTTTATCTCTTTTGTACAAAAGAAACTATTGCATCAACAGGGGGGTTGTTGCGACCTGGGAGTTCAGGGTAGCACAGGGTATTGCCTTGTGGAGGCTGTATTCCTCACTGAGGTTTCAGTATTTGTTTTTGTTTTTTCGTAAATACTGCCCCCATTTCTGCCTCCCACAGACCCCTGAACAGCCAACTCCTCAGTGCACTGCATCACAGTTTCTGCTCCCATTCTCCACTGAAATAATTGGTAATAAAAGTCGCCAATCTCATTTTTAAAAAATTTTTAAAGATTTATTTATTTTGGGGGGGGCAGTGAGGGCGGAGTGAGAGGGAGAGCATGGAACCCGACACAGGGTTTGATCTCAAGACCCTGAGATCATGACCTGAGCCGAAATCAAGAGTCAAAGGCTTAACTGACTGAGCCACCCAAGCACCCCTCATTTTTTCACTTCTAATGTGTTTTTTAGATTTCACCTTTTGTCCTTTCATCAAAATTCAACACTCAAGTTCTTTCCCTTGATCCTGAACTTTCTTCCTTGGCTTCCATGACAGTACATTTTCCTGTTTTTTCTCTACCCTCAGCCTATTCCTTCTCAGTTACCTTCAACTGCTCTGTCTAGCCATTCAATGTCGGTAGTTGTATCCCTACTCCTGAATGTATGCCAAGTACTTACGAATTTGTTTCTCTCACCTCTGCCTTTGCTTTCAGTTTCAGACCCATTTTTCCAATGACATTCTCAAAGGTACCTCATATTCAACAAGTTCAAAACTAAATTCAGTTATGGTTATTTTCATGCTTTCATTTTACCTTAGGGACAGGGTTTAAAAAATCCATTTTTTTTTTTTCCCTGAAGAAAGGTAGAAAGGAGATGGTAGGAAAAGGAATATCACTCTTTTCCTTAAATCTGGTCCTTTCCTCCCACATGTCAATATTTCAGCTGATAAATCTTTTTATCAGCACCTTAAGCATTTATCAAGAAACTGACCACCTCACACCCCTCCACACTTCCTCCCGTTCCAAGCCACTGTTCTCTCTTGCTGGGTTATTGTAATAGTCTCCTATTGCTCTTTCTGCTTCTGCCTTTGCTCCCTACAGTCTATAATATGCCAATATCTAGAAAGACCCTTTTAAAATATAAGTCGTGTCATGTTACTCATCTTTTCAAAACCCTCTGTCTCACTCAGAGCAGAAGGCAGTGTCCATATGATGCCCTCAAGACCCTGTATGATTTGGCCTCCTGCTACCTCTCTGGTTTCACCTTCTCCTCTTCCTCCCTTTGTTACTCCATTCTTGCCACTCTCCTCTCCTGTCTCTTGAAGACGCTAAGGATGCTCCTATCTCCCAAGGGTGTACCTGCTTCTGGGCCTCTGCACTTGCTTTCCCCTCCATCTGGAAACCTCTATGCCTAGATAACTGCCACTCCCTCACCTCCTGCAAGTCTCTGCTCAAATATCACCCTATCAATGAAGTCTTCCCTGAGCACCCATTTTAAAAGAGCCTCTCTCTCTACCTGGCACCCTCATCCCTAATTCTCTCCTTTATTTATATCCCTCATCAACATCTTGTTTGTTTACTATCTTTTCCTAATGAGAATTCAATACATTAGGAATTTTTGTCTGTTTTATTCTTGGCTGTATCCCAGTAACTAGAATAGAACCTGGCATCAAATTGGTGCTCAATAGATATTTATTGAATGAAAAAATGTAGAATGGAGCTCAGAGTCCAGTGGAAAGGCTGGTCAATGAACAGATTCATTAGCATCTCTAAGGGCTATAATAGGAATATTAGAGTGCCCAGAGTAGAGACACCCTATAATGAGTAGGGAGTTTTAGGAGGAGGGTCAGAAATGGAGTTCTCAAGAGAAGATATACCTAACCTGAATCTTAAGGAATAAGTATTAAATGCCCTTCAGAGATTTTCCTGTGTCCTGATGAAAAGATCAGTGACTACAAGAGTGGTGATTATGCATGCCAGCACTGCATGGTAAAGAAGATCTAGGGGAGTAAAATAGGCTCTAGAAACCTGACCTGAAGCTTTCACAAAGGATCTTCTCTCAGGCTTTGTAGGCATCATTGCTTAGCATCTTTCCAACATAGGAGAGAAATTCTGGAAGAACCTAATGATTTCTAAAATTCCAAGGATAATGTCAGAAAAAGTAAAAAATTCTAGAATCCTTTGATGATATGTGGGGATGAGCCAGAATGTGAAAGAGAAGAGGACTTTGCTCTCTGTTAGCAATTGCTCAGATTTTTCAGGACAAATATGCCCTTGAACCCACCAAAGTAGTGATTCTCTACAAAGAAATATCCCCATCTGACCTACAGTTTCAGAAGCTCCTAGAATTTTCTAGAATTCAGATGTTTGAAAGCACTGAGAATTATGAACAAGAAAAGAGTAGTGTTTTTCTAGACTGTCACAGGTGAGCATTCTGAACTCTTATCATGGGGGTAAAGCAAGAGAAATTTGGACCATATTCAAGAACAGGCCAAATATATCTTTCAGGAAGATGATGAAGTATTTCATTAAACATGAAAGCATCATTTTTCAAGCAGAGATGAACCACCAAGTAGGGAGAAGTAAACTGAAAGGGGGTCACTTCAAATGTAATCTGAATATTTCTTCTTTCAACTCTGCTAGTTTACATTTTGAAAATTGTTAAGGTTTTGCAGGGATGTGTGGACACTTACCCCTGACTAAATAATAGTCTTCTTCCACTTGGACGGTGAATGGACAGAGCCCAGAATATGGGATGGCAAAAGGGAGTTAGTCCCAGAAGAGATGTATCATGTCTGTATATAAATTCACCCTATGGCACCCTCTTTCTTCCCTTCTCTTTGCTACCAATTTTAAGTAATAGTTCTTATACATTGCCTCCATTTTCCTACTACCCATTTGTCAATTCTTATGCCTTATTTCTACTACTAAAGCTCCAGAGAAGCCAGAGTCTTAAAAGGCCAACAGTGAGAAACTAAATGACAAATCTAGTAGGTTTGTTCTTCTGGAACTGTTCATTTTCTTTTATTTACCAGCTATATGCTAGTATCTCCCAAGGATCTACCCTTAGTCCTTTTCCATTTTCTAATGCTATCACCACTATTCTAATATAGGGCTTACAAACCTGCCATTCCCTCATGAAACACTCTGGCCCCAGATATTAATATGGCTGCCTCTTGTATGTCATTTAGATCTGAGTTCAATTGCCAGGTCCAACCACCCAATCTAAGAAACATTGCTTTGCCATACCAATCAATATTTATTAAATAGCTCTAATTACATTTCATCAAATAACTTATCACTGTCTAAAATCATTTTGTTAATTTCTCTTTTCCTTTGTTAATCATCGCTCTCTTTCCACTAGAATTTAGGGGCTCTATCTTACTGGTTAATTGATGAAGCCTCAGAAGTTAGCACAGTGCCTGGCACATAAGAAGCACTTGATTATTTGTTGAATAAATGAATGAAACTTACCTACCCCAGTGGTTTAAACCACCATCTCTATGTAAATAAACTAAGAAATTTAGTTCAGCCCTCTTTTCCAAACCGTCAATTGGTATTTCTAGCTGTTTTTTACATACCTCCAGCTGGACAACCTGACAAGAGCTCTAATTAAACATGATAAAACCACCTGTTATTCCAAATTTGCCCTCCTCCTGACTTGACCCATCACCCAGACTCAACATCTTTCCTCATTCTTTTGCCCACTCAAAGAATTCAACTAATCATAGTTTTCCCACCTGTTTATTCTTTTCTTCTCTTTTTCTGTGGTCATTTAGTTTAGATTCTAAACTATCTAGTTTAGATTCTCACTCCTTATTGAAGTTATTATAATAGGTATCTAACTAAACTTCCTGGGCCATAATTAATTTACTTCATTTGTTAAATCCTACTTATTCTTCAAAGCTCATACCAAACACCTGTTGAATGAACTCTTTCACGGTGTCCCTGACTGGAAATGTTCTCTTGACATGCCATGATTCTGCTTGGTACTTCTCTCATGACCTATCAGAATTTCACCTTGGTTATAATTACTTCGATGTTACATACCACTAAAGTAGTTGATAAGCTTTTTCAGATCAAAGTGTTTTTGTTTGTTTGCTTCTTTTGTATTTTGTTTTTTTATTTATTTACGTGAGGTGGGAAGAAAGACTTTTATTGATCTTTGTGCACCTAGGAGTGTCCTATAAATAGCAGGCAAAACCATGTCTAAGGAACTTGTGTCCCTGGCTCCTACTCACCTGTTCTTGTTGCTGTTTGGCCAACTCCATTTGCTGGCGTTGTTTCTCGATCTGAGATGCAGCCAGTTTCTTCTGCTCATCGTGGGCAGCCAGTAGCTGCTCTCGCAGACTGGTCAGCTGATTGATCATACCCATGAGCTGCCTCTCCTTCTCAGCTAGGCTTTCAGGAGTCCCTGAAAATAACATGGCAATAAAACATACAAGAAAAGGGAAATGAAAAGAGAGTGATTATTCAGTGACAATGAATCTGTTGTATAGAGAACTATTCTAAATAGAAGGTTAACACACAAACATAGGCTCACTTTCTTTCAGATTTTTTAACTCCACGGTGAAAAGCAATGGGAATTTCCCCTTTACAAAATATCAGAATGAACAAATATTTTGATTTTTTTATGTATGACAAGTAATAATCTATAGTTTTTAATTTTACAAGCAAATCAAAAAATGGTGGGGTGAGCATCTATTATTTTAATGTTCTATGGTGGGATCTGACAAAAAATAAAAAGAAGCCTAAAGCACAGCTCCTTGCCCTAAGTAGTTTTTAATCAAATTAAGGAGGCAAGACAAAAACATGAACATTTAATAACCATAATTATTAGGAGATCAAGTTATTATTATCAGTAATATCATTCTCCTTTTCTCAAAAAAGAATCTTGAAGAATTAGAACCAAGGAATTCTACATTAAAAAAGGGAAACAATCTATTAGCCAATCAAATTTTAGACAGTTTTCTCATATGCCACTCAGAGGCTTTCTTCAAAAATAGAATATAACTAGCAGGGAAAATATCCAAGATTGAGAATATAAATTCAGGCTATCATGAAATTATGAAATATGGTTGAAAAACTAAGAGATCACATTATAGTCACCAAAGATTATAGTTAAATTCAACACTTGGAGAAGAAGTCACAGCAGTCATTTATGATAAATAACAGGCTCAGGATATTTAAAACATGCTATGAATCTTCTTTGTTAGGTTAAAATACTTATTTGGTACACCAAAAATGTGAGCAGTTCACTGAAACAGGAACAATATCACTTTTAATTGTTCTTTTAAAATTCACCAGATAGACAAGACCCCTATGGTAAAGCACTCACAGCAGGAGAGAACATACTTTTTAATTACAATTTTCACTTTAATATAAGACACTAAGCACTATTTTAATAATGCATTTGCCACCTGTATATGTAATTAGATAGAAGGATCTGTTATAACCCAGTCACCCTTCCCCATCCCAGGGCATTTCTCTCTAACAATTTATGCTGAAAAAGCATGTGCTTTTTAGGAAGTAGTAGCTATAGTTAGTGGCTTATAATTTTCACTGGCCCATTTGGAATGGAAATAAAGTTTCTAATGTAATTTAGATAGGCTAGAGAATAAATATCTAGAAAAGAAATTATGAGTGAATAGAAGTCAAGAATCATGCATTAATTCTTTATTATGAATACCTAGCAATAAATTATTGCTAATAATTTACTATACTTCAGACATTTGGATTCCATTGAACAGAAGAACACTTATTCTAAGAATAACAACAATATGATTGTTGCAATTAGAATTCTAATAATAAATAATCTAAATATATACTGGGAAGATTTTAAAGAAAATATTCAAGTGATGGTACAATGTACATCTTCACACATCATTAGTAACCACATTTCTAGGAATACATACTAAGAAAAGTAATACATATCAGGCCTTGTAATCCTCATTATCTTCAAGGGATAATTTCATTTATAAAAATCTAGCCCAGGGGCACCTGGGTGACTCAGTCAATTAAGCATCCAACTCTTGATTTTGGCTTAAGTCATCATCTCAGCATTGCAAGATTGAGCCCTGTGTCAGGCTCTGTGCTAGGTGTGGAGCCTGCTTAAGATTCTCTCTCTCCCTCTCCCCTTGCCCCTTACCCTTCTTCCTCCCTCTCTTAAAAAAAAAAAAATCTTCTTCATCCATTCATCTGTCGATGGACATCTTGGCTCTTTCCATAGTTTGGCTATTGTGGACATTGCTGCTATAAACATCGGGGTGCACGTACCCCTTCGGATCACTACATTTTTATCTTTGGGGTAAATACCCAGTAGTGCAATTGCTGGGTCGTATGATAGCTCTATTTTCAACTTTTTGAGGAACCTCCATACTGTTTTCCAGAATGGCTGCCCCAGCTTGCATTCCCACCAACAGTGTAAAAAAGCTTTTGCACAGCAAACGAAATAGCCAACAAAACCAAAAGACAACCGACAGAATGGGAGAAGATATTTGCAAATGACATACCAGATAAAGGGCTAGTATCCAAAATCTATAAAGAACTTATCAAACTCAACACCCAAAGAACAAATAATCCAATCAAGAAATGGGAAGAAGACATGAACAGACATTTTTTCAAAGAAGACATCCAAATGGCCAACAGACACATGAAAAAGTGCTCAACATCGCTCAGCATCAGGGAAATCCAAATCAAAACCTCAATGAAATACCACCCCACACCAGTCAGAATGGCTAAAATTAACAAGTCAGGAAATGACAGATGTTGGCGGGGATGCGGAGAAAGGGGAACCCTGAGCGCTGTGAATTGTTTAAGACTGTTGAATCACAGATCTGTACCTCTGAAACAAATAATACATTATATGTTAAAATAAAAAAGAAGATAGTAGGGGGGGAAATTGGAGGGGGAGACGAACCATGAGAGACTATGGACTCTGAGAAACAAACTGAGGGTTCTAGAGGGGAGGGGGGTGGGGGGAGGGGTTAGCCTGGTGATGGGTATTAAAGAGTGCACGTATTGAATGGAGCATTGGGTGTTATATGCAAACAATCATGGAACACTACATCAAAAACTAATGATGTAATGTATGGTGATTAACATAACATAATAAAATTTAAAAAAAAAGAAAACTTAGCCCAAGAAAACTACAAGAAATGAAGATAAGTATTTAAAAATGTTTCAGATGAAATATTAGAAACAATCTCAATGTCAAATGGGAATAATCAAATAATTATGGAACATCCAGACTGTATTTTTCACCCTTGAAAAAACTATTTTTTAAGAATATTTAATGGTATGGGAACTTGTTCATGATATAAAGCTAGGTGAAAAAACTGGGTAGTAATGAAACATTTGTGAAAAGTCAACCTACTGAATGGGAGAAAATTATATATCTGATAAAAGGTTAATATTCAAAATAAATAAAGAGCTCATACAACTCAATAGCAAATAAAATAAATAAAATTCAATCCAATTAAAAAATGGGCAGAGAATATAAATATTTTTCCAAAGAAGACATACATTAGGCCAGCAGGTACATGAAGAGATTCTCAGCATCACTAATCATCAGGGAAATGCAACTCCAAACTACACACACACACACACAAAAACGCACAATGAGATCTCACCTCACACCTGACAGAATGGCTATTAACTAAAAAGAGAAGAAATAACAAGCATTGGCAAGAATGTGGAAAAAAGGGGACTTTTGTGCACTGTTGGTGGGAATGTAAATTCGTGCAGCTATTATGGAAAATAGTATGAATGTTTCTCAAAAAATTAAAAATATAACTATCATATGATCCAGCAATTCCACTTCTGGGTATTTATTAAAAGAAAACGAACACACTGGCTTGATATAGGAATATCAGTATCAATATCATTGATATATGAACCCCCACGTATAGCAGCATTTTTTACAATAGCCATGATATAAAAACATCCTATGTCCATTGATGGATGAATGGATAAAGAAGATGTAATGCACACACACACACACACTGGAATATTATTCAGTGATAAAAAAAAGAATAAAATCTTGCCATTTGTGACAATACAAATAGGCCTTATGGGCATTATACTAAGTGAAATAAGTCAGACAGACAAAGCCAAACACCATATGATCTCAATTATATGTGGTATCTGAAAAAAAAAAAGGAGAGAGAGAAACAAACAAAAATCCAATCTCATAAATTCAGGAACAGATTGGTAGTTGCTAGAGGCAGGGATAAAGGGGTGGGTGAAATAGGTGAAAGGGGTCAAAAAGTACAAATTTCCAGTTATAAAATAAACAAGTCATGGGAATGTCATGTACAGCATAGTGACTATAGTTAATAATACTGTCCTGCATATTTGAAAGTTGCTAAGAAAGTAGGTCTTAAATGTTCTCATCACAAGAAAAAAATTTTGGAACTGTGTTTGGTGATGGATGTTAATCAGACTTACTGTGATTATTTCACAATTATAGACAAATATTGAATATTGAATTGTACCCCAGAAACTAATATGATATTGTATGTCAGTTACACATCAATTAAAAAAAATATCTGTATAAAAATCTAATGTATGCACATATCTGTATTTATAGAAAAAAAAGACTGGAAGAAAATTTATTTATGTATTAATAGTGGCTATTTCTAGGTGATGGAATTATAAGCCATTTTAATATTTTTATACTTTTAAAGAGCATGTTCTTATTATTTACATACTTAGAAAAATATATTTCATGTATAATATGTGGAAATCTAACTTAAAACTTTAAGGTGATATTATCCATTTACATAACTGGTGTAATACCAATGTGTAAAAAAATATACTTGTTTGTTGAGTATAAGCAAGTATCATTTTGGCATTCAGTATATGAAAGATTAACAAAATCCTTTTGTCTTCACTTATTTATATTTCAATGATTCTCAGATACACACTTTGTATATTTTAAACCCTCTGAGTCTTACAATGAATACTGTCTCAGAGTCAATGAAATATTAAGGTTTATGCCAACCCTGAGTTTGTCCTCCAGTCCTAGTCACTTACTTATAGATGCAGAACAGATATCCTGAGCGTAGATCTCACTTTTAAAATTCAACATGTATAAGGTGGGGTTCTGCATTTTTCTCATTTTTAAAGCGTTATCACTCAATCAACATTCTAAGTTAGAAATATTAACAACATCCTCAATTCTCTTCTCAACTATGCATCCTCCTGAATGCATTGTATCAACAAATCATGATAATTTTTTTTCTCAAAATAGCTTTGTTTCAGTTTTAATTTTAATTAGTCAAATGTATTTCTGCAATATTATTATGTTCACATGAGTAAATAGTCGGTAATTAGAAAAGGGTATGCAGTGAAAGATCTCCTCTGAATACTATTCCTTCAGAGATAACTACAATTATTATTATTATCATACTC